TTTCCCCACTGGATTATCAAGAGGTGGTTTGTTCCCCCTCTTGAAATATTTTTTATGTTCTACGTAATTTATAATGTAAATGTGTTTTTTTTTTGTTGTTTGTTTTTGTTTCTTTTCTTTTTTCTTTTTTTTTCTCTTTTGCTTCTCTGAGACTCGATTTGGGGGGTATTCAGGACAATAGGTGTTATGATGGCACTTAATGTAATATCATGGAATGTCCAGGGTTTGAACTCACCACAGAAAAGGGGAGCGGTCTATAAATTTTTAATTGATAATGTCATCGATATTGCCTTTATTCAGGAGACACATTGGATTAATCCCCCAGAGAAACTCTGGAAGTTTAAGAAATTCCCGTTGATATTTTCCTCCAATATGGAAGGGAATAAAAAAAAAAGAGGCACTGCAATTATAGTCTCTAGCAGAATTAATTTTGAAATGATACATCTAACTGGGGATCCAATGGGAAGATACGTGATACTCATCGCAAAAATTAATGGTATTATATATACTTTGGTTAATGTTTATGCACCAAATTCGTGCCCAGGAGATTTTTTGGACAAAATGATGGAAAAAGTTGATGAATTAGCATGTGGTAATATCATAATTGGGGGAGACTTCAATTGTGTATTGGATCCAGTACGGGATAAAAGCCATAAAAATGCTAGAGACCATAAAATTGCAAATACCTATGCTTCTGATTTTTCTAAATTTCTAGATAGGAATTCCCTATTTGATTGTTGGAGGACCTTGAATCCTAGTGAGAGAGATTATACTTTCTTTTCACATGTTCACCAGACCTACTCTCGAATAGATATGTTTCTGGTGAAAGCGGGGTTTTTGAGTTCTATTATTAAATCCAATATAGGATCCATAGTTGTATCAGATCATGCACCAGTATTCATTAAGGTTAAGTTAAAAGGTGGTCTTAGACCAAGGACAAGGTGGAGACTTAATGAAAGCCTCCTGAAATCAGAGTGCAATATTGATTTTTTGTCATCTGAAATTGAAAATGTTTTGATCACCAATGATAATGGGGAAGTTTCCACGGCAACGGTATGGTGTACCTTTAAAAGCTTTATAAGGGGATTATTGATTAAACTTGGTTCAGAATCTAAGAGGAGGAAGGGAGAATCTTTGCAGGAGTTAAGAATAAAACTGGCAAACAAGGAACGTCTAAATAAAAATATGGTGAATAAAGATTTAACCAAAGAAATAGCTAAATTAAGGGAAACTATTAAAGATAGAATCTATGATTTGGTCAATAAAAATATACTATTCCTTAAACAAAGATGGTACCATAATAATAATAAAATAAATAAAGATCTTTCTAATAAAATTAAAAATAATCTCAAAGATAAATTTATAAAAAAAATTGTTTTAGGTGATAAACATTTAGTGTCACCAAATGATATTGTAAATGCATTTGCGGAATTTTATAAATCTCTATATAGTCTAAAGGAGGTAGGGAGGAGTAGAGAAGAAATGGATACATTTCTGAGTAACCTTAAATTACCAAAAATTAATCAAAGGAAGTTGGAATCGCTGAATGCCCCATTTTTACTATCAGAAGTAACTGAAGTAATAGATAAGTTAAAATTGAATAAGGCTCCAGGCCCAGATGTCTTTTCAACAATGTTTTATAAAACCTTTTCTAGACTCATTTCCCCTATCCTTCTAGAGATGTTTACTAAGGCGTCCGCGGATACCCCTTTCCCTAATGAGATGTTATTGGCTTCAATCATTCCTATACCTAAAGTAGGGAAAGATCTAACACTTATAACTAACTATAGACCTATATCTCTCATTAACCTAGATATAAAGATATTCTCTCAAATATTATCTAATAGATTTAAAATGGTAATTGGAGAATTGATTGATGTTGATCAGTCTGGATTCGTGCGAGGGAGAGGTACTGCAGATAATACGCGTAGGACATTTAACTTAATACATAGAATAAATGAGCATAAATGGGGATCTGTTATTATGGCCCTCGATGCTGAGAAGGCCTTTGACAGAGTCAATTGGAGATTCCTGGACTCTGTCATGGGCCAATTTGGCTTGGAGGGTCAGTTTAGACATAAAACTATGTTGCTATATAGGAATTCTACAGCTAAAATAATTAACCCTCTTGCTGAGTCTGACCATTTTGAGGTCAAAAATGGTACTAGACAGGGTTGCCCTTTGGCCCCCCTGCTATATATTCTTACAATTGAACCTTTGGCCACCTTGATCAGACAGGATACTAATATAAAAGGGGTTAAATCTCACAATGGGGAAACTAAGATTTCCCTTTTTGCAGATGATGTCCTCCTTACCTTGACGGACCCGATGGTTTCAATTCCATCGGTATTGGATGCTATATTAAACTATAGTAGCTTCTCCAACTATAAGATCAATATGAAAAAAACTCAAATTCTAGCCACTTTTTTATCTGAGGCCCAGAAAGATTTTTTGGCTGCACATTTCCAATTTTCATGGGCAAAAGATACTATTGGCTATTTGGGGATTAAAATATCTTTTGATATAGAGAGGACGATACAAACAAATTATGATACATTATTAAGAGACTTGCAACAACTGGTATACAATTGGAGGAAGATTGAGTCCTCATGGATAGGAAGACTAAATATGATTAAGGCTTTTTTGATACCTAAACTTATATACTATTTTAGGGCGATTCCTTATAGACTGGGAAGGGTACTCTTAATTGTTTTCAAACTTTGATTTCCAAATGCATTTGGGCAAATAAACCACCTAGGATAGCTTTTGACACTCTTCGAAGGAGCTATCAGAAGGGTGGTATAGCATTTCCAGATGTCGATAAAATTCATGAAGCATGTAGAAGGGTGGTATAGCATTTCCAGATGTCGATAAAATTCATGAAGCATGTATGGCGACTCATCTATTACAGTGGTTAGATAGGGAACAGGGATCCATATCATGGTTTACCCTAGAACAGGAGGATAGCCCTAGAAGTAAATTGTTTGTTCTTTTTTGGATGGGTTTGTTAAATTTGGGTGAATTGGATACCAAGAATTTTTCGAACCGAATATTGATAGATATGGTCAAGACTTCTAGAATTCTAAATAAAAAATTGAAGTTGGAAGATAAGTTATTATATAGAGTTCCATTAGTGGTCCTACAATATATAATGGATAATATAAATGTTCAATCTTGGATACATCTAGGTCTAACGAAGATCTCGGATTTATGGGATGGATCTAAACCCATCCCATTTACACAATTGCAAGAAAAGTTTAATCTTCCCCCCAGAGATCTTTTCCAATATTTAAGGATTAAGAATTTTATACTTTCTTGGACCATACTTAAGGACCATATTGTTAATCCCCTTATTATATTATATAAAAAGAAGGGTGGGATCTCTAGATTTATTAAGGTGCTAGAATCAATGGAACAAAATTCTCATGCTACCTCTTTTGTTAAATGGGAACAAGATATTGGGGAATCCTTTTCACTTCTGGAATGGACCAAAGCTACACTCCTAGTTAAACGTTGTATACATAGTGTCTCTCTTTATGAAACACATTTAAAGATAATATATAGGTGGTATATGGTACCGACTAGACTATACAAAATATCATCTGTCCATTCTAAGAATTGTTGGAGATGTGGAACTGAGGAGGGAACTATTTACCATATATGGTGGGAGTGTCATGGTCTGGATAATATAAAAATTCAAATGTTTGGCCTTATTAATTCTATTTTTAAGGAGATAAAAGAAATTAGTCCTCAACTTTTTCTCTTCAACATTGGTTTTCCTTCACAGGACAAATATCAAAAATATCTCTTGACTCATATATTTTTTGCCATTAAAATATGTATTGCTAGGGCTTGGAAATCTTCTATCCCATTATTATGGCACAATATTATGGAGCAAATAGAGTATCAATATAGGATGGAATCAATTCCCTTTTTTGGTACTAGAGATGTGGCCAAGTTATGGTTACCCTGGACAAATAGACAGAATTCATGATTATGCATTGTGGTCCCCCCCTTATCGAGTCTCAGAGGAGTAATTATTTGTATTATAACTATTTATATTTTTCTATTTAATTTTTTTTTTTTTTTTCAATGTGATATCTATACCATGGGATATGTTGGCGTTAACCCGTCTTTGATAGCGATTGGCATTGGACAAGTGTAGTGTGATGGAAATACACATTGGGTGCATGATGGCTCTCAACGAATACACTGTACTATATGTGTAATCATTCAGTGTTTAATACTACACAGTGCCTAT